TATGTGTCATCTGTTTACCATTGTGCAGCCAGAGAGGAAAATAAAGCAAGGAAATGCTGGGTGCTGCTTTGTGCATCGTCCAAACAAGCACTGGTGCTGGCATAACTCACCAAGTGGATTCTAGCCAGAGATCTCCATTTACCTCCAGATTGACTTATGACATTCTCTCCTAGGCACAGAAATGATCAGATGGAGAGCTGGAACGCCATTACCTTCTGCTTCTTGATCATTAGTTTTCACACAAAGACACTCATAGTCAAAGGCATGTCAAAAAGCAAAGGCACATCAGTCTCTTCTACAGGGAAGAATTGTGCTAAATGCTGGCCTTGTGAATTAGCCAGTGGGTAAAATGGCATACTGCCCCTGCATGTTCACTTCCACAATTGCCATGGGCACGCAGCAGCCAACAGAGCTGTGATCATTTTGCATCTGAACCTGTTGCTGTGAATTAGTAATATTGCAGATTTATGCTCTGCTATCTTGCTTAAAGATTATCAGTATGCAAAGAGATCTCGCAGCACCTATGAGACTAAGGGGCCGTACAGATGGCCCCTAAGGGGTGTCTCCGTGCCGCCCCTGGGAGCGCCAGATCAGGGCCGCAGCAACAGCATACTGTGGCCCCAATCCAGCAGTTTGCCACTCAAAAAGAGCTGGCAAATGCTGCTCCTTTTTGGAGCAGCAAAACACCACCCTTATTGCCGCTGCCATGGCTCTTCTGGCTTCCTTTGGCGCAGCATGTCTGTACACTGCACCAAGGGAGCACCCTGATGCCATGCGGTGGATCGTGCGGCATGATGGCAGCATCGGGGAGGCCAACGTGCGGTCACCCCACCCCAACCCCACCCCAAGGTTGGCCCTTTTGGCCGCTCTGTACAGGCCCTAACTGAGCAAAATAAGTTACAGCATGAGCTTTTGTAGACTTGGTCTATTTCCTTAGATGCATGAGGTATTAATCTCGAGGGTGCTGCAAGATCCTTTTGCATACTGATATTCCAGACTAACATGGCCATGTCTCTGAATTAAAGATTATTGGCTAGTTCTCTCTGGTCCTATGGAATGGCCTACACAGACAGAGATCACCGCTTACAGTTTTTGTTGATTTTTGGCTGATGGAAGAAGTACAGTCAGCCCTCCATTTCCACAGATTCTTTATCCATGGATTCAAGCATCCATGGGTTGAAGATATTCCAAAAAGATATAAATTCCAAAAAGCAAACCTTAATTTTGCTATTTAATATAAGGGATATCCTTTCACTATGTCACTGTATTGAATAGGACTTGAGCATCCATGGATGTTGATATTAATGGGGAGTCCTGGAACCAAACCCCAGCAGATAACAAGGACACACTATACAGACCTCCTTTGGAGGTTGTTTTGTAGCATTGTAAGACAATGTTGGTGTTTGGGGGACAAAAATCCTCCCCCAGTTTTTTTGTATTTGTTCATTCATTTTTGTCAGAGGGCTTTGGAGGCCACAAAAATGTCATAGAATAGCAGGAGCCCAACACCAGACCAGAGCTTGCAAACATTACTTTTCAAGACTACACCTGCCAGCTGGGTTGTTCCGGATTTTGTAATCCTCAAAGCATAGGTTTTCAGAGGTATGAACAAGACATTAAATCAGTCCCACCAGGAAAGTCATTCTAGCAGGCAGGTATTTGTAAAAAGCATGTCAGAATCCTAGGAAAACCTGAAAATCTTTAAAAGGAAGGACAGCCCTTGCAATGAGACACACAATTAATTGTGCCAAGAGGGAAAAAAGGAAGATACAAGATGAAGGTGAAATGAGTTGAA